TTGCTTCTACATTTCAGTATTAAATTACTCCTAAGCACAGAAACTTTAGAGGATGGCTTTCCCTTGGCAGTTAGGCCTCACTGGCCAGTGAAGACAAATACACAAAAGCAGCCCAGAGCTTATCATTTCACCCAACAGTTCTTTTCCCTCCCAACACAATTACTGTCTAATCTCATGACATTGACTGCCAGAAGTAAGCTGGCATGCATTCCTCCAACAGCTCAAGCCGCTGTACTGAACCAGGTAGAAAGTGACTGGAGGGAAGGGAGCAAGCTGACCCCAGGGCTGTGTTTATTTAATCCTCGTCTTGACCACTTGTGAGTAAGGGTTGTTGCATATGGGACCTTGTGAGCATTTATAAAAGATGCTTGGGTGAGAAGTGAGGGTAGGATGGTGCCAATGACTGGCCACCAACAAGGAGGAGGACAAAGGGAAATAATTTAGCTTTCCACCAATATTCAGGAAAAACACTGTGGTAAATTTTTTAATGTCCACAAACCCCCTATACCATTATAATCTGACGTGACTGCTCTTCCCATCCAGGGGCAGAGTCTCCTTCTTCACCACAGCGGTCTGGGTACCTGGGTATTTGTTTGGACACACAGAATAGGAATGGTGATGTTGAGAAAGTTTAGAAGCCTAAGCCTCAAGACATATTAGAGCTTGGGACTTCATTCTCTTGGGAGGTTGCTGAGACATGTCTTCGAGGAAGATGGCCTATGAGAAAGACCTCTTGAGAGAGAGACCCAGCTAGTAAAGCTGCTCCTGGTGAGCCCAGATCCCAGACAACTGGTCAGCTGAACTGGACCCAGGAGAGAAGCCAGGATAGACTAGCAGGAAACTTGCAATTCAACCTACCCAATTCTGAGGGGAACATAATTGTCCTTTTGAGGTTCAGGATGGCTCGTAATGAAGTAATGTATTATGGAAGCCAAGGCTAACTAATGCACTTGACTGTTTTATTTCTTTTTAAATTAAAAAAAAATCTAAGGCCAAAGAGATCATCTTCTGTCATTCTGTTTCAGTGACTTATGGGGTTAATGCAAAGTCACCAAACATGATTCTTCATTCTCAGCTTTGAAGGTCATTTGCTTTAAATTGGAAAGACATTACTCATTGTATATGAAAACAAACACCACAATGCTAAATTTAAGTATTATTCTAATGGAATTTTAACACTGAATTATAAATGTTGTAGTTGAGGGTTAAATAGCCTTCAGATATTTCCCCCTAGGCTAACAGCATTTGCAAAAATAGGAATAGGGAATTTTTCCCTCCCCCTCTGAATGTTCCCAGTAAAGCAAAGGAAAGCTCTGTGATCAAATTATCCCCAAACCCTTAATTAAAATCAGATGCTGAAGAAGAGTTCAAATTCCTTAACTTTATTTACTAATCCACATATCGAGTATCAAATAGTCCTCAATTCTTATTCAAATACTTCATAACAGGGTTTGATTTATTTTTCTTTATGAGTTTACATATGTTTACCACACCAACACTAAATAAATATAACCACACACAGTCATAACACCATTTCCACAGAGAATGTTGACTGTCTGTTTTTTCCTATTTACCTACCCACCAAAATTCTGGCAAGCATTTCATGAGACTACATTAGTCTGAAACACCCCACTTTTCCATTATAAAGTTTTCTCAAGGTGTCACTAGAGAACGTGGGAAGAAATACATGTATATATAAGTTCAAATATAATGGCAAAAGCTGACTGTAAAGCCTGCATTTGGAGCAAAAGTTATATTCAGAGTTGCCATAGCAGCCTCCCACATTCACACACAGACACAGACACACAAGTGTGTGCACACACACAGGTGCTGGGGAAAGAGAGAAAAGCAGTTAGCAGAGAATAGAATCTTCTGTTAAAATGACAGAGGCATTCATCAATGTAATTACAAGCAGGAATCCTAACTTTTAGTTGAACCCCTTTAATAACAGAAGATTTCCGGGTGCTGGAGTGTTTGGTAGTGATCGTTCTCTAAACTCATCTACCATCTGCGTCCTTGGCTTTACACTTTACTGGATGCTAAGATTATGGAGGAGGAGGAGGAGGAGCAGGAGGAGGGAATTCAGATAACCTTGCACACATTAAGACTGACATGGTTCCCTATCTGGAACATTCAGAATCACTGTTAACCAGGGAAATTTGTGGTTCTGTGGAGCTGAGTAAATTACTTCACTTTCTGAGTGTCTCCATCTATAAAATGAGTGTAATAAGAGTACATATAGCAAGGACATTAGCATAAATAGTCAGTTATTAAATTAATAACAATCAGAAGAATGATAAAATTTAACATGTAATAATAAAGTATTCAATGAGTAAAAATGAAGCAATTAGTGACTGACACACACTTAATACTCAACAAATAAATGTTTTGCTATGATACTTAGATTTGGTTATAATTATTAATTCCACCAACTCTTCATTATAGACAAGAATGGTATAGTTTATAATGCATAAGTTATCATGCGGGCAGGTTGCCAGAAGATCGGGGCAAGATAAGATGTTAAAATCTTCTACTCCACAAGAAGACAATGCCTTCTCCCATAGCAACCTCTTTGGAACAGTACGTTGGTGGACTAAAAGGCCAGGTATTCCACTCCAGTTGCACAAGGACCACCACCACAAATGCTGGCTACAAAGCAAAATCTAACATCTCCTAATGCTAAAATACTCATGTAACAGTATTTGGAGTCAGAACACTTTCTGGAATTTATCATCCATCATTTGCTCAACTACATATTTAGGTACAGATGTATTTGCAATTCATTTAGATGTACAAATATAAATGTCAGAATTAGATGTGATGGCATTGAGTGTTTTGTGACTTCCCATTCACTCGTTTTTAAATCGTCATTGTAAGTTTCGGTGCTTCATAGTCCAGCAGAGGTGGGAAATGAAGTCAGGCAGCTTGGTGAGTAGGGAAGGAGTTAGCACATTTCTTATCAGGCTCAGAGCTATCTTACAATGTGAAGGAAAAAGCAAAGCTGATGGGCTAAAGAAATCAGGGGAAGTTAGAGGAACAGGGTAGGGGAAGAATGAGATAGGAAAAAGAGGATTAAAACAGACACTTCTGACTTTTCAGAAGTCAGTAGGCAATGGAAGAGAAGACAGGCAGGACAGGATTGAATCCTAAACCCTATACAAATTTTCTTGATGGAATGCTTTTGAAAATCAGGCAGTGAAGAATAAAATCAATGTGGCTTAAGAACTTTAAAATAAAGGCATACTCTGTGGTCTCTAAAATTATTTTGCCATTGTAAATATTATGTGCAATGGTCTATTTTCCCTTTAAAGTTGTTCTTCTATTTAGTAACCTTTATTTTCAATCTCAAGAAGAACTGTCACACGGTAGAGTATTGCTACCGATTCTCTCTACTTTTAGTGACAGCGTGACGTGATTGCTTTAGCAACACACCCATCATCAAATGGCAACCTGGGAATGAAAACAACCCTGACTTTTCCCAAGTCATTAGAAATGATCACAGTTGGGTTCAAACTGAGCTGAGTCCTTTACAAGGCTTTTGTTAATAAGCTACAGTTAGAAGGAAATAGGGAGGGAGGGTAAAGAAGGCAGTCAAGAAGGGGAATGGGGTTGATGGCCTTCCATATGAAATGAATCTAGAATTTTTAAACCTGCTAAAATCACCAGAAGAAGGGGACTAAGGTAGAAAGGAGAAAAATAGAGGGGATGAAGCAATTCAGGTTATAATATATATGTACATGGAAATGTCACAAGGAAACTCCCTGTACAGCTACCTTAAACAAACAAAAATGACTTTTTCTAAAAAAAAATGGAGAACAGGAAGGTAAAAGAGTTCCTGTCTGGGGGTTGGCACCAGCGAGAGGAGGGAGGATGTAGGAAAGGGTGTAGGAGGGTGAATATGGTGGAAATATTGTGTAATGTATCAAATTAGAAAATGAGACCTGGTGAAACTGTTCTAGGAATGGTGGTGGGGGTATAAAGGAGAACGATGGAGGGGGAGAATTCAGTTATGATACATTGTCAGAACTTTGGTAAATGTCACAATGTAACCCCAGTACAACAATAATTTTTAAAAGATTTAAAAAGAGAGAGAGAGAAGGAAGTAGGTATTGGCACCACTGTGAAGGAGAATCCTTAAAAGGAATTTACATTCTCTGAACTCTTATTGGATTTTATAGAAAACCTACAGAGAATGATTTCAGAGTCCAACCCCACAACTGCAAGGCACACCTGCTGATGGGAGTGCTGGGGTTGGGAGCTGTCTGCCAAGGCTGTCCTTCTTTCTACCTGTCCTGTCAGTAATGCACTCAGTTGCTAAAGGACAGGACAGTCTAGTCCACCTGTGCTTTCATTCTCGGAGTGGACCCAAGAACCCTGACCACATAAAAATTCCTGTGTGTCACCTATGCATCACTGCAACCACTCATTCCTTCTTAAATGTCCTAAGACAACTGCACTCAGAGCCCGGCTCTTACCTCTAAACCCATGGAAAATATTGGAGAATAAGGAGAAGTACTATTTCTGAGGGTATTTTGGTTATACCATGAGAAAATATTAAAACACTGATTGAGATACTATAATATAATTATCAATAACAACAGAACACTCTAAAAAAATATGAGTGCCTCCTCTCCACCCTCACCAGGGAATATGAGGGCTTGAAAAGGCAGCAAGAGCCTAGCTAGTTCTCTTAATTGTACTATTTCAAGTTCACGGGTAGTCCTCCATAGCAAATTTGTATACACTAAGTCTTATTTAATTTAAAGACAAACATACTTACAAACAAACGCTAATGGCTATATTTTTAATATAGCCAACTACCCACACATGATCTCATGAGGCTCAACGGACTTAATTTTGTTCACAGAACTGTGATTATTAGAAATAAATTAGATGGCCAATAGAAAGTTATTAATGTCCCACAAATGACTTTCACCATGGGAAGGAAAAGAACTAGTACAAGGAAGCGTTGACTAGCATGAGTTTGTAACCCTACTTACTGTCAGATACATGGCAGCATAGACGCTGAGTGCTGCTTCTTTGGATGGAAATGTTTTCCTTGCTCTCGTGATGAGATCTGGGTTGCCTGTGCAGGCTTCTTCCCCGCTGATGAACTGGGTGTACTGCTGACATCCGAGCGCTGTATAGTTGGGCTTACAAAGGGCAAGAAAATGTGGTGCCAGATTCCCTGTAACAACTTGTCCAGCATTTACAAAGATATCTGTAGCAAACAGTCCAAATGTATAAATTCCTGAGGAAGAAAACAAACAATTTTAGCTCTCAGTATTTTTTTTTGTCTACAACAAGCCAAAATGGGAATATTTTAGAAACTATAAAATATTCCATACATACACATACTTCTCATTTTCACTCCCCTCAGCTCTCCCTTGGCTTTGTGGAATAGTGGGAGTGTTAAATTATTTAACATATTGAGCTGTCTACCACTGGCTACATTTTTTATGCATGACAGGTTTATAAGACATAAGATTAAAAGAAGAAAGTATATTCTAAGTCTATGTTTGGATGATGTGATTTTTGAAAATGAAGACACATATCCCCTGAGACAGTGTAGTCTATCATGTCTCCCTAATGTTAGCAATCTATTTTTTCCTATTTTCGACAACATTTTTGATCTCAAACATAAGCAGAGCAGTTGTCTTCCTTTGATTGTGCCTCTACACCCCATTCAGACCGGCATTACCTCTGCGGCAGGTACCAATGAGCAGTAAAACCCAAAGCCATCAGTGCTCATTTAAATATCCTGGGATATCTTAAGTAAGGCAGAACACTTTCAGACAATCCATACACTGCTTTCAGAAACACATTTTTAAAAGGTACAGAACAGCTAGAATTTAGTCTCACCTTATCTTTTATAGGTTAACGTTCTATTTAACCATTTTGTTGGGGCAACTTAGTAAGCATGAGGCAATCACAAGGATAATTTTTCAATTATCTTTATAATAACCAAATTTTTCAGTTTTTAATTTTTTAGTTTAAAATCTTTTTATAGCTTAAGAATAATTCTGGTTACCCGGAGATATAAAATAGATATTTTTCTCCTTTTGTACGGAAGTTGCCAATTTGCTTGAATACCAAAAACATTCTATAAATTCAGGGTTCATTGATCATTATCATCAAAACGTTTTTCAACCGAGGCAAAATAAAATTTTGCCATTAATTTCAATTACTTAAAAATATAAGCTTCAAGGGTGTGGTATTGCTGTAAAGAAATCCATTCTTAGTCGGGCACCAGTGGTTCACCTGTAACCCAGCAACTCAGGAGGCAGTGGTTGGGCAAACTGAGGTTCGAAGCTGTTCTGGGCAAATAGTTTGTGAGAGCCTACCTTGAAAAACCCTTCACAAAAACCGGGCTGGTGGAGTGCCTCAAAGTGAAGGCCCTGAGTTCAAGCTCCAGTACAGCCAAAAAAAAAAGAAATTCATTCTTTTATAATTTTGGGAAGTAAGATCCACCAGCACCTTTTAAAACGATACTAAAATAATACTTCCCAAAACAGTTGTATCATTAAAAAGTCATGGAATTTTATTATAAAAATGAGATGTATTTCTTCTTAGTCACATACTTCTGGATTGTCCATTTATAAACCTTTTCATCATTACTGGTTGTTGTATAAGGAAAAACCATGAAAATTGTACAGGATCAAATAATTTTCCAGTATTAGATGTATGGCAGTCTTTTTAATTTTCAAAATATTATCAAAGATTTATGCACAAAATTTTATAGGTTTATGCACAAGAAACCTGCCCATAGAACCACCATGAATCCAAATGAAACAAAGACATTAGTTCTCCTTTCATGCTAAAATTCTAAAAGAAAACAATAAGAACCCCTTTCTTTACATCTCACCAGTGTTCCATGAGACAAAGTAAAGATTATCAGAAGCAGAAATTTGGGAGAGGCAGAGAAATGAAAGAGAACTGAGCTCAGGAAGATACCCACACAGTCTCTCCTCCAAAATCTCTGAGTCAGGCACAGAAATCTAAATTAAAGCCTTCTTCAGCTGTACTCCTTTGAAATGTAGGCTAAGATGTACTCATTTTGTTTAACTAAAGCGCTCTTTTTATCTAGCGTAATAGGTCTTCCTGTTGAAAATAGGACTATTTGATATGCCTGGAAATGTCTCTTGATACTTGTGAAATTCCCAAATGTGCTTCAGAACTTAAATGTCACTGTGTCAGGTCCCAGGCCTACATTATGGTTGACTGACAGATGATTACTAAGGTGCAGTCCCGTGAGTGTATCTACTCTGCTGTCCTCCACAACAAAGTCACTATACAGAGTGGTGTCCTTTTATGCAGCAATGTTTTGGTTACAAGCTAACTGGAAACATTTAAATCATGATCAGGGAACAAAAACAAGTCAATGTTTCATAAAATGATACAATAAGTAAGAAACATGTACACACTGTTCCACAGTCGTTAGAAATATGTGTGTAAATGCAGAAAAATGTGGATTCAAATAGGCAGAATAATTTTGCCTAAAAGTGTTTAGAAAAACATCAGCTTCCCAAAATACTTTGTTTTGCATATATTAGTGGCTACTACTTATTTTTCTGTTAAATGATTCTCACGTACAGAGATGACTCAAAAACACAGACAGATGCGTGAAAAAACAACCTGCAAGGTTTCACTTAAGAGTTACTCCTTCCATAAGATAAATGGGGCTTTAGAGTCCCATTTGATAACCATGAAAAGAACAGTCCTGAATGTGAAGAGCTCTTGTCTTCAGAGAAAGCTACAGGCCTGGTGGTATTTTTTCCAGTCAGTGAGTTTATATGTATATCAGATCATCTATTTATAATACCCAAAGTTTTCATCCTGATCCCCTCAGAATGAGAACTATATTGAAAACTGACAGGGTCCTTCATGTATCTGTCAATGCTGACCAGAATTTGTCACAAATGTATTTAGCACACACAGATACACTAAATTTTATCTGGTGAATTTGGGAAATAACATCTTAAGTTCTGTTGTGTCAGTTAAACACTGATCTTAGTTAGCTTCGATAATCTGTCAGTGCTAACATTTAAGATTAAAGGCAAAGCATTGGTGATACTGAATCTTGTCCTCCAACAAAGTCACCGATACATTTTTGTGACTGAACTGACTGCTGTTTATCAAATATTGCCCTTGGTTGGTCTTTATGATGTTTAACGACTTGTCTAAGTTACTGTTTCTCCCCAAGTACTGTTCCTGAAATTTTTTGTTTAAGAATATTTAAATGTTCAAGTGTTGTTATTCTTTTCTTCCTTAACATGGATATGATATCCTGAAGAAGGGTCTTGAAATACTAGAGACAGTAGCGTGCAATGTTCATTTTTTAAACCAGATTGGAATATTTCACACAAAAGATAACCTAGTATCTTTGTACAGTTGTTAAAATGTGTATGGGTCATATTTAAGATTATTTTACATATAAGCATTTTTTCAGCAAGAAAAGAAACAATTCAATGCACACATACCAAGAAACCGGACAGTGCGGCGCACCAGCGGATTTATGTAGCAACAGTCTCCCGTTAAAAGAGTTTTTTCCTGGTTTTCAAAGTCCCTTGTGGCTAGTTGTAAGCAAAACACAGCAGTTTCTCCAACTATTATCTTGCAAAGAAATAAAAGATTAAAGAATATTAGAAGTTAACCAGTATTAATGTTTTTTATTTTTTAAAAAAATGCAAAAAGGAAGTCCTTTTCTTTTGACAGTTGCTCTATGTTGAATTGCCCCTAGTAAGGGGTTTCATCACGACATTTCCATACATGTGTGTCATGTACTTTGATCATAGTCACACCCTCTAGCTCTCCTTCTTCCCCCCACCATCTGCCCCCCCCTCCCTTCCCTTTCACCTTCCTAATAGACTCCTTTTACTTTTATGACCTTGGTTGGTTGTTTTGTTTTGTTTCTCCCCAGCTTCCACAAATGACAGAAAACCTGCGATTCTTATCTTTGTGGGACTAGTTCATTTCAATCATGGGCTCCAGTTCCATCCACTTTCTAGCAAATGGCGTAATTTCATTCTTTTTGATGGCTGGTTGAAACTCCATTGTGTATACACACCACATTTTCTTTCTCTAGTTACGGGCACCTAGGCTAATTCCATACCTTGGCTGTTGTGAATTGTGCCACAGTAAACACGGGTGTGAAGGTGTCTCCGTAGAGTCAGTTGACTTTGGTTCTTTTGGGTATATAACCAGAAGCAGTATGGCTTGATCATAAGGGAGTTCTATTTTTAATTTTTTGAGGAACCTCCATACTGATTCCCATAGTGACTCCCACTCACACCAACAGTGACTCCTTCAGATGATGATCTTGATGTGAAAATGAGGCAGTTTGCTAACTAGATTTTTTCATTGTAATTTTGTTGTAATATATAAACCACATTTCTCTCAATTCAAAGGAGTTTATTAAGATGCTAAATTATGAAAAGTAGACTATCATTTGTTCTTTAAAAGGTTTCATTAAAAATGAAATATACAAAGGAACGTCAATGATCAGTTATTTTTGGTGTGTGGTTGAGTTTCGTGGGATTTTTTTTTACTGTCTTTTTTTATTGGGGGTGGAGGTAGTGGGGATTAAACCCACATCCTTAAATTTCTAGGCAAGTGCTCTACCACCTGAGCCAGAGCCCAAGTCGTTCTGTTTTTACTTTGTTTTGAGATATGATCTCACTAACTTTTGCCTGGGCTGGCCTCAAACTCGTGATTTCCCTGCCTCTCACTTTTGAGTAGCTGGGATTATAGATATGAACCACCATGCCTGGCTCAGTGACTATGTCTGGTCTAAAGCAGATCCTTCCACAGACTTCAAAATAGATTATCTAAGATCAAAGAATGATATATACATGCATGGGAAATATCAAAGTAAAAACCATTGATTTGTACAATTAAGATATATTAACAATTATATTTTAGGGAACAAGAGAGAACATTCTCTGCAAATATTTTTTAAGGGATCTAGTGTATACAAACTAACGTGAGATCACAGTGATACTTTTCTAAGAAAAAATTGGCCTTGAGATTATTCTATTCTGACACATTATTAAAAATTGAATCAGTAACATATTCCTTACACTATAACATAAATGTATTATTTTAATCTTCATAAAAACTAGATGAAGCAGGGAATATTATTACAATCCTGTACATGCAAAGAAATCAAGATTTCCAGCTCAAATGAATTGTCCAAGGGCTTGTGAGGACAGCTGGGAACTGGTACAGATCCTCTGCTCCACTGCTGACTTAGAAGGACCTATTTCCTACTCGTGATTATATCATTTGCGGTGGTTCTCATACATATCCTCAAAATCACTAGCAAGATATTACAGCAAGTACTATCATTTCATCTTAAAGATGGGAAAGTAGAAACTTAGAGAGGTAAAAATATTTAGTTTCCCTTCAGGCCAGTCAGAAGCCAAGCAGAAATTTGTGCCTTATCCTCAGACCCTATTGACTGTGATGTAATAACCATGAACAACAACGTAACAAAAAGATTAAGAGCAAAGAAACCAGGGCTAGTAGTACACCTGCTAATTAGTCATCGTTAATTTTGTTTTTAGTACATCTTGTTAACTAATATGCTAAACAGGAAGTGTCTGACATTCCCTAGGTGGCATGATTTGGGTATGCTCCTCCAGAATTCATGTGTTGGATATGTAATCCTCAAATTCGCGTGTGGGGTGCTCTTCCAATGAAGTCATGATAATGGGGATCCCATGATGGCCTTAGTGGCTGCAGAAGAAGGGAAACAGGGACCCGAGCTAGCACACTTGATCTGTCTTACTATGGGACGTCCTCTGCCATGTTATTTTGCCCCCACCAGATAGATGCTGAGCAGACACTGGTTCCATGCTCTTAGACTCCTAGCATCTAAAACTTGGAGCTAAATAAATCTTGATTCACTACATATTGCTCTTTTTGGGTTTTGTTAGAGCAACAGAAAATAGAAAAAGACAGAGGGAAATGTTTTGAGAGTCTCCAGTACTGAAAAGCAATATCTATGGTTACAAAATATTCAAAATAGTAAATGGGAGGTAGTAAAGGGGGTCTTAGGAGATTGGTGTTCAGTCTACTTTTACCCCAATTGGGGCATCTAGTAATTTTCATCCTTCTTTCTACTTTCTTCTACTCTTCTTACTGTACTTCTTTCTCCAAGAAGGCTATGGTTCAAGTTTAAGAAGAAGTTGTTAAGCTGTACTGTATTTTAAAAGTCTAGTCTTGCCTACCTGCTGAGACTGGATTGAATTAGAGAAGACTAGAACTTCCAAATTCCTCCCAAATTTTAACTTTGGCTTTGGTGAAATATAGCAGGTGTGTGATGAAATAGTTCATCTGGCCAAAAAAAGCACAAGAACCATTTTTTCATGGGTACATAGGCTGTCACCAGGCCTTAGGAGAAATGAACAGACAGACAAGCTGTGTGTCTGGCATCTTCTTATTTCCTATTGTGAGTAACTGTTTCATGTACTACCTTCTCCACTGTCCCTCAGAGAAATTACCACTATGCTGCTTTCTGGGTTTTCAGTTTCAACTTCTTCCACTGTTTTGCCATAGAATGTTCTGAATTTTAACACTGTATCATCTACTTCACTTCCTGATTTCCTAGATCTCCAATGATGGCCACCCCCGCCCCCCGGAGAAGGCACACAGCAATTTCCACCGGCTCTCCATCCCCAAGCTGACTCACTTCAAAGTACCCTAAGTCTCAACTCAGGCTGTGAACATACTAGACACATCAGAATATTATAGCTATCCAATAATGGTCATCAAATGTATACATGAGTCTCATCCTCAATAGATGTCATCTTTAGTAGATGACATGGTCTGCTTTTGACCATTTACTTAACTTCTGATACCAACTTCTGCTTTATTGTTGACATGAAAGTTTACTAAACACCCTCCTTCCAATAACCAGGTCTTGAATTGCAGTGCTTGACTTGATAACTCTTAGTTACCATATTGTTTCCCAATTAAGAGTGGCCCTCACTCTTCCTAGGACAACTCTTCATAGCTTTCCTAACGCTAACCTCTCGCTTATCTGTATCTCAGGCCATTTCATGTTCCTGAATTTCCAGTTCGTATATTGAGTATAAAACAAAAGAGAGCCACAGTCAATGCCATTTGGCTGCTAAGAAACCCACTCAAACTAGGTTAAGGAAAATTTGGAATTTATTCTAGGGTTGGTGGGTTATCTCAGAAACTCAGGGAGGGGGATTGGAGATTAGCTCCATGAATGAAAGTCCTCAAGAAGTCCAGGCATACACAACAGCTCTCCCAGGGTCATACTTTCTCATATAGTGGAGCCACACCATCTGGCATCTTGGCCTCTGTGTCAATTGCCTGCATTGTTCTGCTCTATCTGTAAGCCGGTTCTCCTACTTCCTAGCATGTATGGTTGCCCCAACAGTTTCTAAGAGCTTTATCTTGAACTTAGCTCAGTTCAAGGAAATAGATAAAAATGACAAACTTACAGGAGGTTCATCTTCAAGTAGGTGTCTCCCTTGGTCAAGGTTAAAGAAGGTGTGTCTCAGTATATAAAACTAGTTCTCTTGGTAGAAAGGGTAGCTCTCAAAGAAAAAGAGAGTTACTGTGTCCTGGCATCTCCCATCCATTACATCTCACTGGACCTCCCCCATGTCAGTACTTAGCTTAGACCAGTCCTTTCCACGACATTCTCTGAAACTGTGTTATGTCTGTGTACTCAGACTTCATCTCATCAAATTTATATGCCTGGACCCTCGTGTCTGCTTTCCTCCACTGGGTACATTTAATTCAAGTGCTCTAATTCTTTTTCCCTCTGGAACTCATTGTGACATATATGAAATCCTCATTCAAACAATATTCTCTCCTAACTTCCCCCACCCATCTTCCTGGATGAAAAAGCCATCATTTACAGTTATCAGATGGATCTATTGAAAACAAATTTTGTGCAAGCAGCTTTCCTATTTACAGTTTTCAGTGTGTCTTCATGAACAGGAATCATTACAAGAGGTCATTTACACCTGAGCCTAACACCATCTTTTTTTCAGTTTGTGCAATTCCTATATAGCCTCCAGACATTCTATGATAGTCACAACCAACCCTTTTAATTCCCCAACATACCATTCCCTACATCCAGGCTTTTATACTTGGTCCCTGGCTTGATATAGCTTGGTAAGCAAGGCATTGTTCAGAGTTTGAGCTGATTTAAATATTGCCTGCTCTATTGCAAGTTTATGTCTATTCCTGGTGCAATTCATCCTTCTCTGTGTTTCAATGGCACTTTGTACATTTATTATGGTAATTTCCATATGGTTTTATAAGTATTGGTAACATCTGTCTCCTGTACTCAATTGAAAGCTTCTGAGGCAGGGACTGTATGTTACTTCCAGTTTTAAAGCACAGTGACTGACAATAAACGTGAATGCTGTGTGAATGAATGAAATTCAGCTCAATCTACTCATTTTGTAGACAAGAAAGCCTATTCAGAGAGAAACAGAGAAGGTAAATATGCCTGAGCCTCACAGCTATTGGCACAGCCCAAATCTGAATCCAAGCTCAGAGCCGAATCCAAGTTCAGTCCACAGCCTCTGCCTAGGCACTTGCCAGTTCTTCCTCCAGCTTTTCTA